GGGCCCAGGGCGGGCCCGGCCAGCTCGCGACCCCTCCCTGCGCAGCCCCCGGCCCGGGCTCGCCGACGGAGCCAGCGGCTCCTCGGGGCTGGGCAGGCCGGGAGCGCGTCGCCTGACTTGGCCCCTGATGCCTTCTTCTTGCGGGTGCGGCTGGAGGATACCGGGGAGATGTTCCGGGTGACGAACTGCCACAGCGACATGACCGTGCGGGAGCTCAAGGAGGAGCTGGACCTGATGGTTGGCATCCCCTTCAACCTGCAGCGGCTTCAGTACCTCGACCAAGGTGGCTCCTGCGCCGCCCGACCCCTTCCCTGGTCACGTGTGCTCCCGAGACACCCAGGCCACTTCTGCACTTGAAGTCCCAAAGAGAACTCCGCCTAGTGGGGACCCCCAGATGTCCCCCAGATGTCAACCACCTTGAAACCCCACATGGAAGAGCCACCTAGGGTCTTGGCCACAGGGAATCCCAGTCCTAAACACACCAGGTTCCCATCAGACCCCAAATCTCCACAGCAAGACCCTAATCCGCAAGCACATCCTGCTGTGTCAGGCTACACTGCCAACCCTGAGCACATCCTGTCCATGCCAGGAGCCCGGATCTCAGAGCCCCCTGATAAGCCCAGACGCTCAAGCTCCCCATATTTTCATGAGGGGCCTGAGTCCCAAAGCCAACTGTGTTCATATATAAGACTTGCCTGAAACAGAGCTTGTCCTCAGCAAGACCCCAAAACCTAGGGAAAACCTGCCTGAATCAGGACCCCAAACTCAAAGGAAACCCCAAGTCCTTATTCATGCTGGACTTGTGAACATCAGAACCCCAGACCTCTAGCCAACCATGTCCATGCGAGGATGCCACAGTCCAAAACAAATCCTGCTGATCTCAGGACCCCAAGCCCAGAAAAACTCTGCCCAAGACTGAACCCCAAATCTCCAGGCTAACCATGACTACCTCAGAACCCCAAATCCTTCAGCAGCCATGTACACACAAGGATGTCAAAGCTCAAAAAAAATCCTGCCCACGTCAGGACCCCAAAACCAAGAACAAACCTGGTCAAATCTGAACCCCAAATCCCCAGGCTAACCATATGACCAGAACCCCAAATCCTCCACAACCATATCCACATAGGCTGCCAAAGCCTAAAACCAACCCTGCCCACTGTTGGGACCCCATCTCTCTGAAAACTCTGCTCACATTTGAACCTCAAACCTCCAAGCTACATCCCAGAGCAGACTCTTCCTCCATCATGACCCTAAATTCCAGAGCAGATATGCCCGATTCTGAGTCCCCAATCTCCAAATAACCATTTGTACGTCTGAATCCCAACCATTAGCCACTTCTGTCTACTTAAGGATGACAGTTCAAAATAAACCCTGCCCACATCTGGACCCCCAAATTCAAAGTCACCCCTGCCCACATCTGAAAGCCAGTCTGTAGGCTCCCGTTACTACATCAGAACCCCAATCCAAGCAACATATCCTTATAAGGGCTCCAAAGAATGTGACAAATCCTGCCCACCACAGGACCCCAAAGCTCGAATCTCCACGAAAACCATGTCTACATCAGCACTCCTAGGGCGAAGCTAGCCATGTCCATGTAAGGAAGTCAAGGTTCCAAACAAGCCTTGCCTATCTGAGGACACCAAAACTCAAGGCAATCTTTGCTTGTATTTGAAACCCAAATCCTTCCGTCAACCTTATCCACACCCCAGATTCTAGAGCAAACCCTGCCTGTGTCATTACCCCAAATTTTGTAGCAGTTCCTATCACCATCAAGACCCCCAAATGTCAGGGCAGATGTGCTCGATTTCTAAGCCCCAATTGCCACATCACCCAGGGATACATCAGAACCCCAAATCTGAAAATAAGTCCTACCCATACAAGGACTCCAAATCCCAGAACAGACCCTTCCCACGCTAGGACCCCCAAACAGCAAACCTTGCTTTCATCAGAACCCCAAATCCAGAGTAAATTCTGCCCTTGTCAGAATCCCAAATCTGAAAGCAAACCCTATCCATGGTTGGACCCGGAATATTGGCACTAACCCAGTTCATATCAGAAACCCAAATTCCAAGCTGTGTCCTTGTCCACATCGGGAGCTCAAAGCTAGCCCAGCCAGAATCAGAACCCGGTACTCAAAGCTCCCCATGGCTAAATCAGGACCCCAAGGCCCCCTGTCCAGACAAGTCTCATGTGGTAGGTACTCAGTGGAGGCCAAGGACCCTAAAAGCCCATCTCTCCCTCCATCGTCCTTCCCTAGACCTGAGGACGTGGCCTTCCCTGTCCCGATTCCCTACAATATTTAGGATATGAGAACAGGAGCGAAGCCCCTGGGCTCCATCATCTCCCTACCCGGTTGAAAAAAAAAATGCAAAACCCTTCAAGAAAATGAAAATATAAAAAATTCTCTGGGCTGCTGCACAGAGAATGTGAACGGCTGATATTGCAGAGAGACTGCAGTCGTACTGCAGGGGCCGGGACGCGATGGAGACAGAGCTCTGAAAGCAGCCTGTCTCCACGAGCCGGGTGCTCACAGGCACTGCCCTTCCCGGGCTCAGTTTCCTAACCCGTGGAGCAGAGCCCTGTAAGCTCTAGAATTCTCAGTGCTGTTTCCCCCTTGGACAGAAATGAATCAGGAAGCTCACGATGTACAGTGAAGGCCAAAATACCTTCCTTTGATCTTAAAATAGGTTCAGCATTTTTCATGACGTATTTGTTTTCCTATAGGAGTATTCGAAAGATGCTCTTGGCATTTTTGAGGCTTTATTTGGAAAGCAGTGCGTCGTGAGCCTAGTCTGTGCTTAACATGTTAGAAATTGAAGGTGAGTTATTGAAGGACTTAGTGAAGAGTTCCCAAACAAGTGATTTGTGAATTACGTCTCCTCCACTGCAAATGTCTGGCACCCCTTCTGTTCGCTTATTTTCGCTGATGAGCTATGCCGAGCCGTAAATTCAAGAAAGCTAAGAGGGACGGAGAGAGATGGGGCGATCTAACAGTGATGTCACAATGCTATCACTCGACAGACGCCCGGCCACCGTTAGAAGCTCGACCTCTGCTGTGGCAGTCCCTACCAGTGGATGGCAAAGGAGAAAGAGGGAAGGTGCTACTTTGTTGTGAGAAGAAATCTGGGCCGCCGCCTATTAAATGATCCGTTGTTGACTGGGGGTCTTCTGCCCACCTCCGAGGTTGCGGGGCAGGGAGCGGGGGTGGAGATCAAATGAGATCATGTGTGTGAGAACCTTGAGACGCACAAATCCAAACGGGGTGAGCAGATTCATGGGCGAGGGTCGTCCTTACACATCTGGTGTCAACTCTGGCGCTTTATTTAGCTGGTGATAATTAGTGTTTGTCTAAGCCCAAGGCAGTGGCCGCCTGTCTGTAAAAAGAGGATGTGCTCTGATTTCTGAGCTGTTCAGCATGTTTGAATTGTACTCTTGTATTTCTCAGGGAAACGCAGCTTGACTCAATATTTTCAAAGTTGTTAGGAAGTCAAGTTGTCTTACACGGACTAATTACTGATCATCTTCCGTGTTTCAACCACAAATAGGACACTAACCGATTTACTAATCACGTTTCTGTTTACATCCACCACCCTGAGTTTCAGGCGACCGAATGGTGCCAACAGTGAGTGTGAAGCACGTGGCCCCGGAGGGAGGCGGGTCTGGTTACCGCGCAGCTTGGAGTTTACTAGTGAGCTTCAGTTTGCTCCTCGGCAAATAGAGATCACAAAGCGACCTTGCCAGGCTGTCGCGAGAATGAGAGAATGCAAGTACTCAGTACGGGCACAGAGTTATCAATCACTCAGCCAGGGAACCAGAACACTCACGAATTCCCCTCCCTTGGAATACATGATAATCGAACCTGGGCAGAGCTGAGACTTTACGAAGAAAGCAAGTTGTATTGTTATTCTTTTAAGCAAGACTGTAAGTGGTCATGCAAGAAAACGTGTGTGTGTGTTTAAAAAGATAAACTAAACACAGCTGCATTTTCTTAAAAGGTTCTATATCTAATTCCCTGCTGCTAATACTGACAGTCTTCCCCAGAGAGTGTGAATTTATGAAGTGTGACTCGATCCACTCCATTCTTTCATGCGAGTGAGACGCAGCTCAGGCAGAAGAGCTCCGACACGCCACGTCCAGATTACGGCAAACACCAGCATTAGCTTCTTACGTTGCCATAGATTCTCAACTGGGGTGATTCTGTCCCCCGGGGGCATCTGGCAATTCTCCGGAGACATTTTTGATTGTCATAGCTGGGCGAACGTGCTACCGACATCTCTCGGGTAGAGGCCAGGAGAGATATTTAGTCTAAAATGTCAGTAGGGCCAAGGTTGAGAAACTCTGCCTTAGGCTATAGTTTGAAAGATTCAACAATTTTTTTGTCACTGTTACCTCTTTAGCCAGCTAATGACAACATCAACCAGAGTCGTATTTTAGCTTAATGTATATAACTTGTATAACTGCATTGTACTGTGTCTATTGTGTATAGTTACTGCAAGTTTAAGTAGTTCTATTTGTAGAATTTGCCTCATAAAATGACTTTGCTGACTCATGTATTTTCTTGCAATAGGACAAGTTATAATCACAGAATTTTATCAATGGTTGCCGTTTTTTTGTTTGGCTTCTATCTGAGCTGAGCCAAATTAATTTTCAAAAAAGCATTAAACGACACCCAAACAGACTCATGTGGAATCATCAAATGGGATTTGTGTTCAAGATTCTAAAATTATCTTTGTGGTATCCAAGGTCAGATAATCTCTTAACCAATGCAATAGTTTAATATCCAATTTTTTTAAAGGAAGAATTTTTCCTCGTAGGAGTTTTGATGGATGGTACTACGTTAAAGTTCCATGATGTTGTTCCTGGTGGAATTATTTCATTATGTATCTGGCATTATGACGGATGGACAGAGCTCGTTGTAGCGGCTGTGGAAGGGGATCCCAGTAAGGTGTTTTCACGCTTCTTTAAATGGATATTATACTTTACCAAGCAACTGTAAATTGTAGGGGGGGAAATCAGTTAGTCTTTAATATGGGTATGTGAGTAAAAGTTTCAGAGTAGGGAAAAAAGATAACGACCCATGTTTAATTATCAAATACCGTGTCTAGTGCTTTCATTCATTCTTTGAGTTTACTTATTTATTAATATGATTTATAACCCACTTACCGCCCCCCCACCCCAGGAATCAAGGCAGCACATTGTCTATTCATTTTCAACTTTATAAAGTTGAAAATCTAATGTAACACACTGAGCAAAGAACTTCTGAGAACTTGGAAATGTGCAGCCCAGTGCTCAGGGCCTTACACGCGGTGGGGGGGGCTAGGGTGGTCCTGCCCAGCTGCAGGGAAAAGCCCTGCTCCTTGGCTAAGCTACAGGTGCCTGCTGTTTGCGGGCCTTGCTCTCAGTGGGGCTCTGGGGGTGGGCGGTAGGGGGCCGGAGGATCAAAACCAGGATGTTTACCCCGCGCGGAAGATGAATGACTCTGACAGGGGGCAAGTGTAGATTCTCTCCAGAGAAGAGACTTGGATGGAAAGCTGTGAGCTCAAGGGGAAGAGGAGTCTGCGTTCACTTGCTGGGAAGTGGTCAGGGAGGCTGAGCACAGGAGGAGGGCAAGGGGCTGAGGCGGGGAGGAGGGTGGGCTCTGGGCAGGCGAGGCCAGGACCACAGCACCCCTCCCCACTGCAGGCGTCAGGCCTGGGCGGGAGGGAGGGGTCCCATCCAGCCGCTCCTTGCAGTGGCTCCCCTGCCTCTGCCCCTCCACCCTGCCTGGCCTCCCTGGCCTCCCCTTCCACCGGCGATTTGGTCCAGGCCTCGGTTTCCTGGCCCTTGCTCTGGACGTGGGGTTATCTCCCTCCTGTTTGAGGTCTTGAGTCAGAACTGCCGTCACCCTTGGCTTGACGCTGTCCCTCTGTGCAGCCCCACTCCTGACTCCCACATCTGGGACAGAGCTCCTCTCTGTGGGAGCCCATAGTCCTCCTCCCAAGCTCAAAGGCCTAATTTATAATACCAGGAGATGATTATATCGTGGAGCTGTTTATCTGCGAGCGGAGTTCAGAGTGTTCCCAACGCTCAGGGGATTGATGGGCACAAAGCTGGGTCAGAAGGCCAGGAGACATCAAGTCTCCAAAGAAGTGTGTTGCCCTCTGGGAGGGCTGTTGCATGTTGGAGGGTGTCTTCCTTAATGGCCACAACCACCTTCCTCTGGACACCCAGCAAAGCTATTTTCTCTCTTCAAAACACGGACAGGAAGGCCTTCCTGCCCCCCGAGCTGACTGATGGCAAATTCTGTTTCCTGAGCATGTACAGCGTCGGACAGCGTCCTTCCATGCTTCCCTGGGCTTCCGACTTGCAGTTCGGGTTTGCGCCTCTCTCTTCCCGTCGTGACCTCCAGTTTGGTATCAAGCAAAGCTTCCCCTGAGATGCCCGTCAGCCCTCCAGCAAGGGGTGGCTGCCCTTTCGAGAGTGACTCGAACCCCATTTGTCTTGCCCAGCTATCCTGTGTCGGTGTCACTGAGGACTCCTTCTACCGAACTGCAAATTCACAACATTTTAAAGACGAGGAGTGGAGGCGGTGGACGTCTCAGAGGGCGTTCGTGGCGTTGTATATCACCTCGCACAGAGGCCACGCTGACGCGGCGCAGTACCTTCTAGAACAAGGTAGTTCTGGTAGAAAGCTCAGTATGTTCAAGAGTTGGGGTCTTTCGCTGGTGGGGAGGACAGAGTGTCTTGGCTTCCCGATCCCTTCAGCAATGGTTTCCTGGACTGTGCCTCGTCAGCCCTCGATCCTGGTCCCCATGGGGCCACTCGCTCCCTGTCTGGACAAGCGTCCTAGGACACGCCAGCCAGAGGCTGCGCCCCTTCTGTTCACCAGGTCTCAAGAAGGTTCTTTCTGTCGTGGTGAGATGGGAATTTCAGGGAGCAGCTGAAAGGGTTTCCTGGTTTGGTATTTCCCACCAGACACAGTGCTGGGAGTGTCCCCACGCTCTCTGCACGACTTCCAGCCTCACCCGCCGTCGGGATTCTGCGATGATCCAGAATGGTCCAGCCCGTGCCGCGGAGCTCTGTGGGGGCCGGCAGGCTGGCCAGGCTCCTTCCCCCAAACCCTGTGATTATTTCCTCAGGAAACATTTGCCCTGGACTCTCCTCTCATCCCACCTCCGCCGAAGGGCAAGAGCCCCTCTCTCTTTCTCTCTCCTCTCTCTCTCCTCTCTCTCTCTTGCCCTCTTGGTTGATAGAAACAAAGCCTTATCTAGCACTACCTCTGAGTTAAAGAGCTTTGCATGAGATTCTGCAGGCTCTGTCCTCCCTGCGTGTGGGATATTTTTGGGAAAAGATGCCCACTGATTGAGATGTAGACTTTTCAAGATCAATAGACTGTAGCTGTGGACAGCCCAGGCCACTGGCTTCCTTGGAAAAAGGAAGAACGTGTTGTGTGGTGTTGGGTCCATGGTTTGGCGCTCAGACAGGGCCTTTCGAGGGTCTCCCATATCAGCCGGCCTCCAGGGAGACCCTCTCCCGCCTGCAGCCGTGGCCCAGCCTCTCTCAGTTCTGTGTTCACATTCGCCCGCTTTCACTGAGCAGGGCGGAAAATACCTCGGCTATCTTGGGCTGGATGACTGGGCCATGCGCTGGAGTGTGAGCCTCTGTGATGGGGACCGGCCGCCTCGATTGGGTCCCATCTTCCTCTGCTGCCTTTCTGCACTTGCCCTGTTGTTAAATGAAATATGGGCTTTTCACAGCTGAGCAGTCCTTTAAGCTCATAAAAAGTCATTTTCACTCTGATGGAACTGTGATGTATTTGAAGGCACCAGTTAAAAAATTACAGCCAGCTTTGCAAAGTTTTCTGTCCTCTGCGGATGGCTACCATGAGGGGCCCCGTGGTGGGCGCCAGTGTCATGAGAGCCCGTTTAAAACTCCACCTCACCAACCAGCCGTAGCTCATAAAAACAGGCTACCGGAATGTCACCTGAACTTAATTAAATTGCCTTGTTTTCTGTGTCGTAATATTTGTTACTCAGAGTTTGAATTCAATTCAACAAGTCCGTATTGGACACCTGTCATTAGCCCCTCCATCCGCAGGAGGCGGCGAGGAATTCAATCGAAGCGAAACTGTCCATGACTCAGGCTGCCCCTTGACTGTCATTTCCCGAGTGCCTGTCTCCTGCAGGCACCGAGCTACGTGCCGGGGATGAAAACAACAGTGATCAAAACAAGTGTGTTTTCTGCCCCTGTGGAGCTTATGAGGGGAAGTCAGCAAATTATGACAAATGATTAACAGCATGGCCATTCGTGTGCAGGATGTTCTGAAAATGTAGAGTGTCTCCTGAGCCTAGGATGGGGGGGGGGTTTAGGGGGAAACTGAGGAATGTCTTCTTGAGGAAGTGAATGAAACCTAAAAAAGGGTAGGAGTTAGCCCAGGAAAAAAGGTGAGAGTGTTGTTAGCAGAGGGAAGAATATGTGCAAAGGGCCTGGGGCTGGGTGCAAAGCAGGGCTATTTAAGGGCTAAAGATGGAAGGCCGGTGTCGGTAGAGCCTTGGTGGTGGGTGTGGGAGGAAGAGCATGGGAACAGGGGGTGCTGGAGCTGTAAAGGGGGGGTGGGGTGAGGCAGTAAAGACCTCGCCCTGTAGGCGGGGGGGATGGCAGTGATGGGATTTGAGCAGGAGTGTGATAGGAGCATTCTAGAAAGATTGTTGGCTGCTGCAAGGGGAAGAGGATTGGAGGCGAGGCAGCAGTGTCCCCCCCCCGCCAGCTTCCCCACCCCGGAAGCATTCCCCTCACAGCCCTGCACCCCTCCTGGCCCCCAGCTGGCTTTCTTATTTTACAGGAGCCAACTGCCTAGGCAGGTCCCCCCTGGGCAGGACACCCCTGCATGTGGCTGCAGCCATGGGCCGATTGGACTGCATAAGCCTTCTGCTCAAGTGGGGGGCCTTCATCCACGACAAAGACGCCAGCGGGGAGACCCCCACCTCCATCGCCTGCCGCCTGAACCGCAAGCAGAGCGTGCGGCGGATGTTCCTTCTCCACTGGCTGGCACAGGCCAGGGCAAGGGACCCAAACAACGTGGCCATGAAGAACGTTTTTCAGAATGTCAAGTCTGGGTTTGGGCCCAAGAGGAAGACCCCAAATTAGCTCCTACTGGGAACGTTTACCCATTGAAGCGGACTCAGGTAACTTTCCAAAATTTAATCCCATGGTGGCCCTTGGTGAGCAAAAAGGTAGGTAAACATGGCAATTAATCCGAACCAGATACTAAATTATCTGTCCTGTTTGCAAATGACTTTGGAGAGCGTTGCTGAAAGTAGGTGAGTTTGTAATCCATTACAGACCTAGCAGGCTGCAATGCCAGCCTTTAATTTTGAGCTATTTGTACATTGTATCCAGTAACGAGGCTTCGGGTGGAAGGGAGCCAATTACCTCCTCTCCCGCATGCAGCGGTCTAATGCGCGGCATAATAGGGGTAACAGCGGTGATGATAATAGCACTATTGTTATTGCACAAAACAAGGCCCAGCAAACCTTGGGAGATCGTGCGTAGCGTGGGCTGTGAATTTTGGTTTGTAAAACCCATGCAGCCAAATGCTCCCCAGTGAGGAATGTTCTGGAAATTTCCCTGAGCCATCCTCGAGGGGTCTGCTTCTTGAGTTGGGGGGCAGAAGTGAAGCTGGGGAGAGCTTGGTTCTCCAAACACCTTCTCCAAAAGGGGTGCCTCATGGCTCCTGCTGGGAGGTGACGTGCCGGCACTGGACGTGGAGGAAACAGTGCAGAGGTGGCCGGGGAGTCCGCAGGGAAGGAGGAGAAGCCGAGCTGGCTGCACCTTCCCTTCTGTGCCGACGCTGGTGGTTGGAGCAGTCCCCTCCCCCCTGCTTCCTCCTCCTTTCCTTGGGGCAGGTCACCTGGGAGGGTCTTAGCTCTTGGGTCTGCATCACACAATCTCACCTGGCTCCCGGATGTGCCTGCAGGGCTGGCCTGCCAGTGGGCGCCTGAGCTGGGTGTGGGGACAAGGACATGCAGCTGTCCGAAGAGGGCACCGTGACTCAGCCTCAGCAGAAATGCCAGCCAAAGATGGCTAGGTCTCTCCAGAACTTTCCAGAAATTTGGCTTTTTGCAGGGATAACTCCTGCTTTTTAAATGTTGACTTGAATTTTTGAGGAATGTGGCATGGTACGAAAGGAGAGAGAAGTGGGCACACCCGCGGGACTGCCTCTGGGTGTGAAACTCCAGTTTGTTTCACCAAGAAAGTGGCAGAAATAATCTGTGTTTCCTTGGAACCATCCACAGCCCTGAAGCCACAGCGAGGGAGCGGCCATGGGTCTTGCTGGGGGACACGTACCCTACACTCCCGACCCCACCCCCACGGGCCACTTGTGTTTCTCTAAAGGCCCCGTCTTCTAACAGGCTTCTGGATTCAAAGCGTGTGGCCACGGTCTCTCGACCACCGAAGCTCTGTTTTGCAAGAGACAGGAAATGACAGTGTTTCCTGGCTGCCCTTGCTTCCGACTCACATCCCAGTAACAGGAGTCAGCTTTTAAATTAATTGGTCGCATTTCCTGCTGTCATAGCAAGCGAGATCCGTGTCGATGATGTGGCGTTACACTCAGTGTACGTGGCTGCATCCAGCTCAGCAATGTGTTTGACAAATAGTGGTCGGGGAAGAAATAGCTCGGCGCCACCTGTGTCAAAACTGAGATCTTGTTCTTGGCAGACGCTCTGCAAAGTCAATAGGCAGATATTAAGCAACCCCCATCCAGCGGGTCAAGTCATTTAGCTAATGAGGTGTGTTCGGGGTGTGACTTGGGCACCCTTTTAACTGAACAAGTGGCGTTACTCAAAGTCACGTGCGTGACAGCTGCTTCGCTAAGCCGTCTTTGCTGTTGGGAGTGCCAACTTCCTGACACCCGTGTCTAACCTCTGGGGGCAAACCCGCTGTCTTCATACGCCCCCAGTGCAGTTAAAGCCTTGGCCAGACGTCACGCAAGTTCCAAACTCTCCGTGGTGACATTTTGCTCAGTGTGGGCAGGGTCATTTGAACGGTCTTACAGGTCCTGGGGAGCTCTTCCTTTCAGACACCCTCAGCATTCTATTATATGAAAATAAGTGTGCATCGCACACTAAATAAAATATGTCCATAACCATAGAGGAGTTGAATGATACGTTACATTTTGTAGATATCTCATTAAATGTTTATTTGAAGAAAAAGATTTCATGCTTTGGGAGCCAGAAAAGAAATGTGTGTGTGTGTGCGTGTGTGTGTGTGTGTGTGTGTGTGTGTGAGGGGGGTGTCGATCCCAGACACTTCCGTGGAGCCATGAAGTCCGTGTGGCCCGAGGCCCTGGGGATGGTCCGCGTGGCGAAACAGCTGTTCTTCGGTACCCCTGCCCACCGGCACGGCCTCCAGCACCCTCTGCAACTGGGGTGGGCCCCTTTCTGGGCCCCGCACACCCTGGGTCCCTTGGTCCCCTGGGCTCCACCTGGTCTTTGGCGCTTTGCCTCCTCTCTTCGAGACTCCCCGCGGGGCCCTCCTCGCACCCTGGGCTCCCGCGCCCGCTCCTCCATCTCGGACCTGGGTGCTGCCTCGCTCCTGCGTACCCACCACCCGGGCTTCCCAGAGGGTAGGGGGGCATCCCACTGGTGGCACCTCGGGAGCCTCTAGGTGGCCCCTGACACTGCGTTAACTTACGCTGAAACACTGGGCGAGAAAGTTCGTCCCTTTTCAGACCGCTCTCAACCCTTTTCCTGTCCGCAAGGAGAAAGTTTCCTTTCCGTGCTGGTGTGTCTTCCGCACCTCCGCGGCCGGTCTCCCTTTTAAAACTGCAGAAATGGCGCTGGCTTGCATGGGCCACGGTATTTTGCCAGGATTCCACCGTATCGTCCTGGTCTCCGCGTATTGCGGGCCAAGATTCCGTTCCTCCCTCCACTCCCGGCTAGCTGTGTGACCTTGGGATCAATGGTCACCTCCCAAGAGCCCCATCACCTGGTCGTGCTGGCGAAAAAAAATGGCCACCGTGGGGGGAGCTCTCAAGACCCCAAGCCCCGTCAACGTGATCCCACAGTGCAGCAGGAAGGGCCTGGGCTTGCAGTCTAGAACTTTCCTCTACCACGAGATGTGGGGCATGGGGCCAAGCAGTGGCACCTCTCAGAGCCTCAGTTTCTTCCCCTATAGTTTTCTGGTATAAAAACCTGCCTGCTGTCATCACTGGGGAGTTAAACACCTGGCACAGAGCAGACACTTGAGAAATGGCAGCTATCATTGTTGTGATTACTGCCACTACTTCATTTGCTTAAAATGTTTACTCACTGGGAATCAATACTCTCCTGGTCTCCCGATAGCCTCATAAATTTTCAGCAAACCTTATACAATAAGAGTCTCCATCCAGAACTAATAATTCCCAAAGTGGGAGATAAATAATTTCCCTTAAACTTGCTGATTTTGGTATTAAGCAGAGGGCTTTCTCAGCAACTTAAAAAAAAAAGTGCGTAGTGGACTTGAAACTCCAGGGCCAGTTCTGCAGGGGAGAAAAAAAAGCTCTCAGGCGAAAGGAAAATTCCAGTCACCGGGCTCTGCCTCCGCAGTGCCGCACTGACTACAGATGCCTCCAGCAGAGGGCACAGAAACCCATTAACATTTAGAAAAACACCCGTGTTTGTGTTCCTCGGAAATGTCAGAGATGCTGCAGTCTGCGTCACTCGGAAAACTTGAGAGTGAGGCTCAGCGACAGGGGCTCACAGACGGGCGTTGCTGCCTGAACCCCTGAAATCGTCCACACAATGTGCACGACTGTACACACTCTTCCTGGGGGGCCTCTCACAGGTCTCAGCACACCCCGAAAGGGTCTGCGCCCCCTGCCCCAAGGGGCCAAAACCTTGCTACCCCAAGGTAGCAAGGACCTCAAGCACGCCAGCTGTCAGAGCCCTCAGACCAGTGCGTCGGAACGATGTCACACTTCACCCGTTTGGCTGGATTGCATCATCAGGTTACAGGTGGAAAAATGATAAATGCTGCCGACATCTGGGGCTGCGGTGTGTGTGTGCGTGTGTGTGCATGTGTGTGTGTGTGTTCGTTCACGTGAGAAATGTCTCAGCGTTGCAGAGGGGAGCTTGTAGATTCCTGTAGCCTTGCAGAATTACTACCTGACAATATGTATTTAACACATTGACTGCCACACTAGAAAAAACATGTTTCCTCAGGGCCACGATGTTTTATTACAGAATAAAAACTTCAAAAACAAAATGTTCCTTTCTAACTTAATGAAAAATATGTTATTTTTATTGTTTTCTGTGCATGAGTTCTATGCAGTTAAATTGTCAATATTAATTGTAACAATAAGAACATCAACAAAATTTTCAGGAACCAACGGCAGAGTTTTGCCCAGGGGGCCACCCATCACGTAACATGTATGTTACAGCCTGGCCGCGTGAGTTGCCTGCGCACCATGTGACTCCCAAGGTAAAGAGCTGTGTGAGTTAATATGCTTCACGAGGCCCTGGGCTCAAAACTAGCGTGAGTTAAATACAATTCACCTGGCAGTTAATGTGTTAAAATGCCCATGCCTCAGCCAAGCCACCCCCCTTTTGTTAATCCGCCGTACAGAGACAAAACCCCAGTACATAATGAGACCTGTCTGCGGATGCTTGTGACTACTCTATGGCGGCAGGCGCCTGGGACACTCCAGATGCCCACCAATGGGAGTGATAGTGACGTATTTTGCAGCTATTAAAAAATGACTTCGTCTGTATGTATAGGACAAGGGACAGCATGAGAGGTATCTGTGATGTGTCATTAAGTGAAAAACAGCAAGTTGCCCAGGAAATGTGTATGAGCTCATTGAGTCACAATTTTTAAGATGAGGCAGATGCAATCAATGTCCAGAGATGTTTATTTGAACAGGAAGAATCATGTCAGGGTACACCCCAGACCCAGCATGGCTGCGCCAGGCCGTGGGATTGCTCCGCACACCCCCTGAATTGTTACGACTGGCATGTCTTCTTCTTTTTTTTATTGTGGCAAAATACACATAAAATTTACAATCGATGACATCTGGTACATTCATGATGTTGTGCAGCCATCATGCTACCTAGTTCCAGAACATTTTCATCACTCCAAAAAGAACCCCCATACACATTCACAATCAC